AGATAGTTGGTCTGTCTCAGGACAGACGTGGTGTTATTAGAGCTTCCATGATTGGTCACGCCAGGAGGCCCTTCCCATAGTGAGATACCGAGTGAGGTTTGAAAGAGAACTACCTTTTTGAGTTTCATTATTATATGTTTGAATTATATTATTGATTAGATTATTTATACACACATTGTTGCTTCATTACCAACTGATTCCGTTCACAGACAGTCTATACAGTGTTCATTACAACTGCAGTTCTTTGCCTTTTACAACAGAATATCAGTAGTTTTCAAAGGGCTTCCCCTCAGACAAAATCACATTTTCTTCTAATGTTTTGAGGGATGTAAACAGGAAGTTTGATGTTGCCATGGATTCAGAGAGTTACACTACCTAATTTCTTTTACATTTTAGAAAATTGTCTTTGAAATCCAGATACTGTTGTTGGAAAGCAACTGACAGGGGAATCTAGATATGAATGCTGGATATAAGCGGAACAGGTAGTTAAACTGCTCTTTAAAGGATAAATCTGGTGGACCTGGGCCTGTTCATAAGTACTTTTGGATGAAAGTTCCAAAATTTGAAAACAAGCTGTTTCCCGACTACCATTAATAGATATGGTGAACAAATCGTTTTTTTCATTTTCTGTTTTTATTTTTAAAACAAAATGGAAAACGGGTTGTTTCCTGATTTTTTTTCTCATTTCAGAACGTATATTTGTTGACAACAAGTTCCTACCCTACCTATGTTATGTAACTTAACAATAATAAAATAAACTGCCTCTTTTTAGGTGGCAAGAGTGGAAATGAGTCATCCTCAATATTAGTTGTGTTCTGGTTTGATGAAGACAGTTGGAGAACAGTTAAATACAAAATAGGATGTCGTCTTCACAGGATAGTTTGTTTTCCTGTGCAACTATCATTTATCTCAAATAATATACGGATTTTTAGGCATTCTATCATCTCAAGTGGCTTGAAAAATAGTGCATAAGGTTTCTGTTAATGATGAAAACAATCTTTGGGCCAAACCCAGAATGTTTACAACATCTGGCTTCGCCCCTGTTTAACTATGTTACTGCAGCGGGCTTTGGTTGGTTTTGGGCGTAAATCTCTTGACACCAATTGCATGAATAAAGATATTGCTGTTTCTTTCAGTCGGTAGAGATATTGTACTTGCCACTTTCACCCGCTCTTCTAGCAGAAACATTTGCATGCAGCTCTTTAGTGCCTATTTATTCTCTTGCACTGTGCATAATTCTGTTTGTGTGAAATGTCATCAAGCTCAATTGACTCATTCTGCATGACCAGATTGAATACTTGTTTGTAGTGTGTGCGCTCTGTCCTACTTGAGTCTGCTGCACATCTGTCTTACATCACTTATCATATCTTCTTACTTCACATATCACCTCTGTCTGTCTGTACAACTCAAGTTATAACCACACCACTTGAAATTCAATTCCAATCCCAAACAACCAAAGACAAACCGACCTTGGAATATTTTTTATTTCAGCGACCCTTTACATAAACCTCTTCTTTCCAATAATGGACTCATTAACAGTGACACACAGATCTCTATGGCAACAGCATGCCAGTAAAGCTGTTATGATGTCCTTCAGTCATGATAATATTTTCCAGTAATCTTGTCTATGAATAGAAGCCCGTAGTATTCTGACAAAAACTACCCAGCTACTAAACAAAGCATATGCAGCCACACACAAGAGCCCTTTACAACTTCCTCCTGCCTGCTAACTGTTACTTTTCATTTACAACCACTTCACTCCAGCTGGAGGCTGCCCTCAATGATAAAAATCAATAATATTTCAAATGGCTAGCCTCAGCCTGTGCCACGTCTCCTCTCTGAAAATTTGCTCTCCTGCAGCCACAGACACACCTGCAGCTCCTTCTCTGCTGCAGCTGCTGATTTGGCGACTGCTTCACTCTCACACGTTTTATCAGGATTGTTTCATGTGACTCTTGTTCTCACTCTGTAACTGTGACTGGAAATCCAGTAAGGCACACATATGTGCCACAATTTGGTATTACAACAGAGGGCAAACATTTTTGTGTGCTTTTGTCCCCCTCTCTCAGACCTCCAAGCAGTTGGTTTGAAGAAGGGTATGTTTTTCAATCCTGACCCCTACCTGAAGCTCTCCATCCAGCCTGGAAAGCACAGCATCTTCCCCTCGCTGCCACACCACGGCCAGGAGAAACGCTCCAGAGTGGTCTGCAACACGGTCAACCCACAATGGAGCACAGAGGTACACACAGACTTTCACACACACATACACAGCAGTATACTTCTCTCTCTCACATGTGTTGATAGATTTCCAAGCTATATTTACCCATGTAAACTGATTAAACTACATTATCTGTATCCATACTGTTCCTTGTCTCATCTGTGTTCTTGGCTGTGCCAAATGCAATCCCCTCAACTAACCTGAGCAAATGGAGAACAGTTTCACTTTGAACAAAGTACTGTTTCCCAGGATGAAAAGAGAAGGTTAGGCTTCAGTTTGGTTGAAGGATGGATGGTAGAAAATGTGTGTTCTCTAAACTGTATTTAAGCATTGTTTCTGACTTTGAAAGGACATTTGAAAACAGAAACTGCAGTGTTCTTTTTGACACCTGTTTCAGTCTTTTGTCAAAAATGTTCAGTTGAATCACATTTTAGTTTAATTAGTTTAAGCTTTTGTTCTTTTTGATATTTTAGTCTTATTTTCATCTCACATGTATGTCTTCAAAGCACTCTCCACATTCACCACCACATTTGATGTGTAAAGTTGTACACAAAGTTAATCTAACTCAACAGCAACATAAAAGGTATCTTTACCAGTCTGTGATTGTTCACTGTCAATGTCACTCTACTCTGCAGTAATACAACAGACTGGTCAACAGCCTACATGCTGCATGCATGTTTTTTTGTCTTTTTGTAGCTTCTGGTCTAATTTTCAGTGGGATTGTAGATGAATTCAGTCCAAACAATAATTGCTACAGTTAGATGTTTAAGAATATTAAGAACGTTTTAGAAACCCCATTATACATGTTTTTGTGCATGGATGGAACACAAACAATGATTATTACAAATATAGTATGTATGTTTCGAGAGCAGTTGTATCAATATAAGATTGTTATTTAAAGGGTTTTTGAAGGAGAAAGAATGCCCTAAAATGTTCAACATAAAGCCTGTACAACAGATTGCACAGCACACAAAGGGATGATCATGTGCTTCTTTAGTTTCAGTAGTAGAGTAAGAGGATCAATGTAATCCATGAAAATCATGTTTACTTTGTGGAAACAAGATCAGCCAATTGATTTTTGCTTGTAGGGATTTTTCTTGAAAAACCATACATTCATCACCCATAAATCTTGTTATGGATGCAGCAGATTAGCAGTGAAAAATCCTACACAACAATACCACTTACATAACCGCTAGATATTCCTCTGTAGTGATTTGATTCAATTTCCATTCAAACTTTTAGAAAATAAGATTTTCATAATATGTGTTCAGACATTGTTTGACAAAAATCAAGGTCAATGTTTACCTATAGGCTCCTGATTCCGTCAACTTGAGAATCAACAGATAAGGTGCTCATATTTTAAGGAACTGAGCCTTACAGGCATACAAACCTAAGTTGGGAGTTCTACAGTGAGTTATACACAGCCATTGGCTCCAATAAGCCACCTTTTCTTTGGCTGATGTACAGTTTTTTCTCAGGGTGTGCTGCAGTTAATCATTTGCGTTGTTTGTGGTCCAGGAGTTACTATTACTTTATTTTATAGTATTAAACGTAAGTGAACCGCATTTTGTGTATTTTTATTTTGTAATTTTGTAATTTCCGGTTGGTCAGATATAGAAAGTGACATGGGAGGGACTGATAAAATGGAAAGGTGATGCTAGAAATGACTCAATGCTTTTTGCATAAAATAATCTAGCGTTTTTTTTTTCTGTCTAACTGCAGTGTCTTTCTCTGAATTCTATACAGCACAGTCTCTACCTTTCATTATGTCCCTCAGGAGACTCCATACGATTGATTTAATGCGGAGTCCCTCTTGGCAGCATCCACTCAGCTCAAAGCCACTTTCCTTTTCCAAACAGCTCCCATGTTGAGTGGAGCTCGGTTTGCTTGGCAGTAATGTACTGTGAAACTAATGGCTCTCCATAGCATGCTAGCTCAGTCAGCATACTTCCCATACTGCAGTCCAGTACTGTGCAGATTAAAAAGACAATTCTGTGTCATTATGTAATAAAATTAATTATGACATATTATTCGAATCTTTAAAAAATAAACCATGACAAGAATGGTCCAGTGATAACTTAATAGTGGAAAGTACTTTCTATGGAATTGAATACTTAAGATATGTCCTATAAATAGTGATGCTATAAAGCTTTTTAATAATGACTGAAGGGTTATATTTATCTTCATTTGCCATTATATTAGATCAATGTTGACCTTGATTAATGCTATTTACTATACTTCTAGTGTGCAGGATCTCACTATAGTGTGGTTATTTGTTGACGAAAATGATCAGCTGAGTTTCACTTTTCTCTAGCCTAAAAGTAACCGTGCTGGATGGTGGTTACACAGAATAATCTGGGAAGTCACAGTTGGAAGCTCTTTCAAAACATACTTGGCTGGTGATTGGATGAACCATCTGTCTAACTAATCAGATCAACTAACCATATAACTCTTACTGAAGCCAGTCGGGAGAAAACTGATGCTACCAGGATCTACGCTGCTAACCTACATCAGAGGCGCCATTGTTGATTAACAAACTGCACCTAGCGCCCACCATGAAATAGAAACACAGATAGTTATGAATGCTGAGAGATTCAGACTCCACTAAAAATTGACTGTAACTTGCTTAATTATTTTCAAGAAATTTAATTTGTGATAAACTGATAGAAACTGAACCTGTAACTGGTTACTTGTAGGACACTTCAATAACTAGGGGTCTGATCTAATCAGCACAATGCAAAAAACAGTCAGTCTCCACTTGGAGCAATGCGGCAGGCATGTGTGGCATTTGGATGTACAAATATGGCGACCACTCAGACTCAAATCAAATTGAGAATGCGGTATCTATGTTTCTATGTTTGGTAGCCCTGCCAGTACCTCCTCAAAGTATGCCGATTGGTCCAGTACACTGTAGTTGGTCCAAAAATGCATAGATTGAAGCCTGGCAAGATGGATTGAATCATCTTTTGTCTAAAATATGGTTAAGAAGCTTTTTAATTTGGACATACAGTTGTGGTCAAAAGTTTACATACACTTGTAAAGAACATAATGTCATGGCCGTCTTGAGTTTCCAATAATTTCTACAA